TATGTAATGATTTCATGCAACAGTTGTATAGTAATATATTGCAATAACCTTGAAACACCATGTTAGGGTCATTTGTTTGATCCAAAGTTTAAAATATATACTATTTTCATTCTAATGAACAATTATCAAAAAAGAAAAATTTCAAAGCATAACCTAGAAAATATTCGTTTAGCCCAATTAATATTGGCCGTCCATTTTAGTGAGATGCTTAGATCTAGGCATTAGATTGATCTTTTTTCTTTCCAAATTTTATAGATAATTCTATTATCATTAGATTAAAAATATTAAAAAATAAAAAATTGATTTTGAATTCATAAAAGTCTAGATCTTGAAATTCATCAAATGAACGGTTTGGATTTATTATTGGAGGGGACTCATTTTGACTATATATAAGGTGCAAATTAGTTTTTTTTTTTTTAGATTTTGATTATTAAGATGAAAAGAGAGTATGCGGAAAATTTTGGGTCATACAAATATGGTTTTTAAAAGTGTGGTTACATTATACTATGATACAACTGTAGCATGAAATCACTACCCTTATATATATATATATAAAACAGACGTTAACCAAAAAGAATTTAGTTAAGGAGGAGGATAACTATTCAGAAGTTTATGCAACTCCATCATGTATGATGGAATTATCAAAAAATTGATCTTTAAACAAAATAAAAAATCTCCGAACTAGATTTTTAGTTAAATTTTGTCCCTTCTTTTCTGCGAATTAATTTTTAAACGCTTTTCTAATTTTTTATGTTTTACTTTTGATTTTGATTTGTGCCTCCTACAATATGATTTTGAATTCTTGATTTCATCTAGTTTTTCATATTTTTGGCTATTGTCTTTTTCTTTAGTTTTTGGTTTTTATAATATTAGCCGAGTCAGCAATGTCGACTCCTCAAATAGGGTGGACCAAGTCGGCTCGAACCTGGTAGGAACCCGATTAGGGTCCGCAAGCCCAATTTATAAAAAATAATGAGGAAGATCCAGATGAACCGCAATGGCAACTACCGAATATGCTACAGGATCAATACAAAAGTGGAAGGCACCGCTACCATTTAACTGAAATTAAAAAAGCGTGATATCCCATTTCTTAGTGTCCAAACAGCAGGTGATGTCGCCACTTCACATGCAAGCATGTGCCATTTCATTTCAACCATTCAAACAAATAGAGGGGTCCTTGTTTAGCATTTTCTTTTACTGTCTTTAAAAAGATTCATATTTAATAAAGGAAAAAGTTCACTTAAGTGCGAGGCTCTAAATAATCAAATTAAGGTGCACCTCAAAAATTTCACTAGAAGATGTGGTTTTGATGCCCAAATATCTTCAAATTGATCATCTTGAACTCGATATGCATGGACATGAGAAAAAAAAAATGGATTTCAAGTTTTGGAAATAGTGTATCTTATAATGCATTTTTGGACAGTTGCTTTTCAAGATTTTCACATTCTCATAGCTCTGCTCGATCTAAACTATTTTTTAAGCTTTGAATTTCATAATTAGTGATGAAAATATATTTTAAGGCTATTACAAAGATTTATAGTACTGAAACCACATTTCTCGATACCATTTAAAGGTGCACTTTGATTATTTAGAGCCTTGACTCTATACAAACCGTACCTTTAATAAAGAAAAAAGTTTATATAAGGTTGCAACCTTCTAGGTAGAACTACGGATGCATCTCAAAAATCCATCGGAAAATGTAGTTTTAATGTTGAAACACCCTTAGATTGATCATCTCGACATCGAGATGTATGACCATGAAAAATAAAAAGATTTTAAGTCTCATAAATAGTGCATTTTACAATATATTATCTATACCGTCCATTTGTAAGATTTTTGTATGTTTATAAATCTACTTGATTTTAATCATTTTTAAAATTTAAAATTTTATAATTGGATATAAAAATAGATTTTGAGATAATCTTAAGAATATTTTACATCAAAATTGTATACCATGATAAAATTTGAAGGTGCACCTTGCCTCTACAGCTACGATACATCCGTATGCTAACTGCACCCTTTAATAAATGAGTAGGTTTAGACAACGTATCAATCCTGAACCGTTACAAAAAGGCGCACCAAGTCCGGTGCTTAAAACCTGATTATGATCCATGTATGTACGTAGATATAAAATTTGAGGTTCTAAACATGATGTAGATCAAAGGTTAAAAACACGGTTAGGCGACCCGGATTGCACCTTTGGGAAACTAGTCCGAATTGGTGATCCGGCCTAGTGGACTTACGAAAAAAAACAAAAATTAAAGAATCAAAAAAATTAAAAAAATTGAAAAATAAAGTGGCACCCGTTCTCTAACACAACTCAATATTTAGGCGAACCAAACCCGCCCCAACGATTGTCGATCCAACTCGCCAATTCCGGTCTGGTTCGCGATTTTAAAACCTAGATGTAGATCAAGCAGGTATATAAATACTTTGAAAAACTTAAAAATATGGTTGGTTAAGAAAATTTTGTATAACATTTACTATTTTTTACACTTGAAAATCCATTTTTTTCACACCATGGGATAGGGTGAAAAATATATAACTGCTTGTGATATTGTGTGCTTAGTATTCCTAGGTGTGATAGCAGCATCTTAGCCGCCCAATATCAACAATGAACGGTTGTACTGTCTCACCCTGTCCATTGTGAACATCGGACGGATGAGGAGGTGCTTGCAAACTGTGCGCAAACTTTCCTAATATCTGTTGGCCCCACTGTAATAATCAATGACCTTTTTCCCTGACAAAATATCCAAGGAGAATACCTTGGTTCTGCAATTAAATATGCTCCAAAAGTTATTATCAATGGCGCGCCTAGCAAGCAATCCTTAACCTTTTTCTCATGCCATGCATAGAGTTTAGAGAGAGAAACAGTTCTCATGCTTACAGTCAAGAGAGAGAAACAGTTGGGAAGACCAGAGAGAAAGTGTAATTTCTAATGGAGAAGGGGTTTCAAATTCTCAAATTTTAATTCTATCGAGAAAATTACGAAAAAAAAAAACGAACCTCAAGAATTATAACTGAAAATTCGCCTTATCAAACAACAATGCTCAGAACCCAGCCCCCAAATGCCAGGAGGAGGAGTTGGAGAAGCGGCAGAAAGGGAGCAGGAGACATCGATCCGCCATTAGCGAATCTCTCGCCCTGGCCCGTGGAAGCAATTGGTGGGCTCTGTGATCCCCCACTGCTATCCGAAGAAGGGAACGGCGGCGGCTGGTTTAGGCTTGGCGGTAGGCCCTGCCCCTTCGCCACGGTGATCCCGAACTTCATTCCATTTGAGCACTGCACCCCGTCCTCACCAGCATCAGAGAAGAAGAAATTGGGGCCTGTTTGAATGAGCGGCACTGGGATCACCTCCGCCATGTCGAACTGCGTGTTGCCGCTGGAATAGGAATAGGTAGCAGGGTCGGAGTCGTCGTAGTCACAAGCGTCGTACGCAGTCTTGTTGTATGTTTGCACCACCGTCTGGTTCGTGGTGGTATTGAAAACTGCAACATTGTGGTCAAGATCCGATAAGAAAAACAATCAGCAGAGAAATGAACCATAAAGAAATTAGGGTTTTTTGGGTTTACTGAGGAAATCGCCAAGGCTGAAGGTGAGTTTTGAGGCCCAGGCAGGGTAATCGGCGGAGGAGGAGTTGGTATCGGGGTAGAAAAACCAGCCCTTTGCGTCGCCGACTGTGTAATTGGTGTACGCATTGGCCGTGGCCGCTGAGAAGACCGCGCTCAAGACTCCGATCATGGCGATTTGGGTCAATGCCGCGTCGCAGGTCCCCATTTCACTCTCTGTTACGCTTTGAGAAAGGGGGGCGAGAATCAATTTTCTCTGGTATAAATTGAGAGATTAGCAAGCTTTTTTTAATTGTATTTCGTCGGCATTCAATTTGATTCGGTGCTCAAAATCGCGGATTGGGGTCGTGATCATGCCGACCTGTGCCCCAGCTAAAAAGTCTTAGCTTTCATTCGTATCTAACGTACTTAAAAATGGAAAAGGTATTTATAGAGCCGAGGCTAAAAATAATTAAATTAGAGCCTACCTCAAAATTTTCATTAGAATATATTGTTTTGATGTTTAAATATTCTCAAATTGATCATCTCGATATCAAGATGTATGAATGTGAAGAAATTTCAAGTTCTAAAAGTAATGCATCTTGTAACATATTTTTTAACCGTCAATTTTTAAGATTTTTGAATTTTCATAGATCTGCTCGATCTACACTATTTTTTAATATTTTAAATTTATAATTAAAAATAGAATATATTTTAATGCTATTACAAAAATTTCAGTATTTAACCTATATTTCTCGACACTATTTGAAGGTGCACTTTATTTTGATTGTTTATAACGTCAGCTTTACTTTTAGTACAAAGAGGTCACAACTATTCTTGTCCATCAAATTTCAAATCAAATGGTTATAAATGTTCTTGTGACTAAACTCAAAGCCCAACAAAACAAATTTTGAACTTCGTGACACACCCTAAGCCATCATCTAATTGGACATCTAATGATTGGAATTAATTGTGACTTCTTTGTATTAAAGATAAATGGTCTCATAGTACACAATCCCAAAAAAAAAAAACAAATTTATGTAGTTTGCAACTTTAAAATGTAGAATTAAGATGCACATCAAAAATCTATCACAAAAATTTGTTTTGATGTTAGAAAACCGATCATCTCGACATCGAGATACATGAATATGAAAAGAAAAAAAAAAGATTTTGAGTCTTAAAAATAGTGTATCTTGCAATATATTATCTAGGTCGTCTATTTTCAAGATTTTGAGTGTTTATATATCTATGTGATTTAAAGTACTTTTGGAGTTTAAGATTTTATATTTAGGGATGAAAAATAGATTATCAAGCCATTCTAAGAATTTTTTACACTAAAATTACATTTATGATAAAATTTGAAAGTGCACCTTAAAGTTACAACCTTATACAAACCACACCCTTGGGCAGGGATTTCTCATCCCCACTAAATTGTTAAAAAAAAAAAGCTTTCAAATTTTTTTTCCCGGAATCCCATTTCTTGTTTAAAATATTAATACTAATGTTGTTAAGCAATTCATTAGAAAATATAGCTCCAATTTATTACACCAAAATTCGTGATTTGATATTGCAATAAGTTAGGACTATGTGAGATGACCTGGCAAATTAACCTATATAGTCCATGCCCCATTTCAAAGTCAATGGTCTCCTGCCTCGTTGTAACCAATAAGCTCCCTGGTCCCTCTTTCGAAACCCTATGTCGTCCCACATTTAACCGGTTACCATCCAATTGTCTAATTTTTATCAAGAGAGCCACTCACCATTTTGATCTTAAATCCGATATTTTAAAGTATTTAATTTTTAATTTTTTTATACAAATTGTATGAATATAAAATTTGGTATACGTCATCTTCTCATTGGGGCGCACTCATAAAAAATATTAAAAATAACTTTTCGATAAAATATAATGATCAAAATACCTTTTAAATTTTTTAGGGGTATTTTGGTCATTTTATTTTATTGAATTTTTTTTTTCGCTAGTGCGAGTTTAATAGAGGAATGGACATCCAAAATTTAGTGTCAAAATAGTTTATAGAAAAAAAAATTAAAAATAAAATAATGTAGAGATGTGACATTGTGATTGGGGCAATCTTAGCCCTCCATTCAAAATGGGTGGTTGGATAAGGGGGAGTATATGAGTTTTATGCTGTAGGGGAAACATAAAAAGCTTGTCAGTGTATAAAAACTCACAACTCGGTCCATGAATGGGTGGTCTAACTAAGAAATCTTGGGAAAAAAAAAATAAAACAATAATAATAATTGTAATATAGTTTTTTATATTTTTTATCATTTTGGCAAAGACTGAAAAGTGTTTTGGCCATGAATACTTATTTTTATATTTTCTCTTCTTTTTGAATTATTTCGAAAATGCCCCATCACAAATTGATTTTTTGGAAAATCCTTTCTCACTACTTTTTTAACCTCATTTAGATGTGTTTTATTTTATTTTAATTTTAGGATCCGTTTCGGGACATGGATTTTGAGCCATAGATTTTTAGTATATTGGATATTACTAAAGGGGTGCGGTTTTGTATAGAGCCAAGGATCTAAACAATCAAATTAGAGCCCACCTTCAAATAGTGTAGAGAAATATGATTTCAATATTGGAAAGTTTTGTGATAGCCTTAAATTATATTTTCATCTTTAGTTATAAAATTTAAAGCTTAAAAAATAGTATAGATCGAGCGGATCTATGAAAATCTTGAAAATTAATGGTCTAAAAATGCATTACAAGAAGTACTATTTCTAAAACTTGAAATCCATTTTTTTTTATTTTATGTATCTTGATGTCGAGATAATCAATTTGATGATATTTGCGCATCAAAACAACATCTTCTAGTGAAAGTTTTGAGGTAGGCTCTAATTTGATTGTTTAGAGCCCAGGCTCTATATAAACTTTTCCCTTATTAAAATCCACCATTTGGTTTGCTTGGCTCGAATATTAAAATTCCATGAAATTAAATATTGAAAAATCACCTGACTTTTCCACAATTTCATTTCCACACTAAAACTTGTTTTTTTGAATTTTCAAGGCTTGTGGATTCCACTCGTCGGCCCCTCAACCCAAAACTTATGGGACACTTTGCAGGTATGACAATATTTGTATTAAAATATTTTCATGTGAAAATTATGTTACACACGTTTTGTACGCGACAAATACAAAAAACTATATCAAATTTTAGAGAGAGGTAAAATACCTGAAAATTTTTAAAAAGAGAAATTATCTCAAAAATTTTAAAGAGGAACTATCTCATATTTTAAGTTTGGAAAAAATTTATATAAGGTTGCAACCTTAAAATGTAGAATTAAAGATATACCTTAAAAATCCATCGAAAAAGGTTGTTTCAATGTTGAAAACCCCTCTAATTGATCATCTCGACATCGAGATGTATGAATATGAAAAAACAAAAAAAGATTTTGAGTCCCAGAAATAGTGCATCTTGTAACACACTATCTAGACCGTCTATTTTCAAGATCTTCATATGTTTAAAATCTACTTGATTTTAACCATTTTTGGAGTTTAAAATTTTATAATTAGATATAAAAATAGATTTTGAGATAATCCTAAGAATTTTTGCACCAAAATTACATGTTATGGTAAAATTTGGAGGTGAGCCTTAATTTTATTGTTTAAGGTTGCAACTTTATAGAAACCTCACCCATTAAATTTTAAAGAGAGAAAGCATCTTAAAACTTTAGAGAGTGTAACTATATCAAAGTTTAGAGAGAGAAAGTACCTAAAAATTTTAAAGAGAGAAACTATCTCAAATATTTTAGAGAGAAACTACCTCAAATATGAAGTTTGAGAGAGAGAATGCATCTTAAAATTTTAGAGAGAGAAACTACCTAAAATTGTTTAGAGAGAAACTATCTCAAATTTGAAGTTTTAGAGAAATAAATAATCTTAAAATTTTAGAGAGAGAAAGTACTTGAAATTTGTAGAGAGAGAAACTATCTCAATTTTTTAGAGAGAAACTATTCCAAATTTTAAGTTGTAGAGAGAGTATATTAAAATTTTAGAAAAAGAAACCATATATAATATTAGAGAGAGAAACTATCTCAAAAACTTTAAAGAGAAAGTGACTTTCCTAAATTTTGGGTTTAGAGAGAGAAAGTGAATTAAAATCTTAGAGAGAGAAATTATATCAAATTTTATTACCAAACAATGGAAGTGGAAATAATTGTAAGGAATCAATAAATTTTGTATCGTATATCCAAACAAGAGATTTAAGAAATTCAATCCAGGACAAAAATCCTTGATATTGAAAATTCATAGAATTTTTTGGCTTTCAAGTATCCCTAATTCCTAATAGCCTCCTATCTAAACATGCCCTTAAGATATTTTTCCTGTTTTTTTGGATTTTTTAATTCTTTTATTATTTTTAAACATTTGGGGTCAACCCGAGTTACTCGGTTCCGGGGACGGGATGGGCCAAGTCCTATCCGTAAGTTGTGCTTTTTTCTTCTTCTTTTTACCAATGTTAAAAACTTTATTAATCCAAGAAACATTGCAATTGGTTTACATCATCACTAACCAGCAACTCCGATAAGTTTGCCCACCTCTCTTAGCCAAAGGGGCAGCCCATGAATTAGCCTCCCTATAGACATGTTGAAAGGTAACTACTAATCCACATATAAGGTCAAGAATCTCACACCACAATGGCTTCAAAGACCATGGCACACGCTGCAATTTGGAGTACCAATTTATAACATTCATAGAATCGCCCTCAACCACACAGGACATCCCTACATTTTTTGCTTTAAAAATCCCAAGTCCTTGTAAAAGTGCTGCCATTTCTGCATGATTAGGAGTAGTAATTCCCAGGGGTCCTGAAAAACCAAAACAACTTTCCCAAGAGAATATCTCATTATACCTCTAATCCTTGCCTCTCTCGGATTGCCATAAGAGCTACCATCGAAAGTAAGTTTTAATGACCCTTGAATAGGAGGTACCCACATGCCCACTGGTCTAGTTTTGATTGACTTGAGCTTGATGAGATTGTGAAAATTGAGCAAAACATCTGTGAGATACCCCTAAATTCCTTTAAAACACTCATCCAACTCCAAATAGACAAGGATCTATATTATTAATCACCCTATCTACAGGTAATGAATCTGTCTATTGCGCTCCTTCCACAGTTCCCACAACATTGCACCTCTCACCACTTCCCAAATCTAGCCACCAATATTCGACAAACAGTAGAAAGCAAGATGAGAAACAATGCCTTCGACACTTTCAGGAAGAGCTGCACTAATACTAACTCGATTTAAGAAGATACCATACTTTGGAGCTGAAAGGACAGCGCACAAATAAATGGGAGCAGGACCCACCATCCATTTTGCAAAATAAACACACATTTGTCAAAATTTTCCTCTCATGATAAGGTTATCATTTGTTAGCACTTTTCCTTGGG